GTGGTTTTTTTCCTCTCGTCAAATGTCGACTTTTCGATCAATTCTGCAATCTCAAACCCAAAGCCCAAAGCCCAACGCTTCAAAAAGACGTCAGCGAACGCGAGTAGATGGTTGATTTGTTCGTAGCACGCAACCAATTGACCGATTGATTTTATATGAGTATCAAGAAAATTTTTGAGAAAGAGAAAAAATTGAAATTTATATTAAAAAAACAGGGTTGGTGCTCTAGCCTTGTATCTGAGTAGCAAAAAAAGTTATCCGCAGCACCTTAATAAGGTACGCAATAGCTTTTTCCTTTTAGGACAGAAAAAAGAAAGTCGCTTTAAAAGTCTCAGTTTTATTGATTCTTTTTTCACTCTGATTGAAATTTTTGAGCTTTGATTTTGTAATTTTTGGCGTTTGGGTTACATGAATTCATATCAATCAAACTATTTTCAAGTGATTATAAACATGTCTCAAATACCTATTGAGTTATCTCTCCCCGCCTTTTGCGAAATTTTTGATCTTTGATTTTGTAATTTTTGGCGTTTGGGTTACATGATTTCATATCATTCAAACTATTTTCAAGTGATTATAAACATGTCTCAAATACCTATTGAGCTATCTCTCCCCGCATAAGCCCTCCACGCAAGAAATGGGGGGGGGGGGGATTGCTCAATTGATCCCGACTTCTTAACTAGACATTTACTTGTGATTTTTTTCGTAAAGTTATGAGGGCTTAAAGACTGCCAGTTTGGCCAGTTTAATAAATAACGCGAGGTTTTTTTTGTGATGTTAAGGCGTAAGCGGAGGTTAATTTAGTCTATGAAGGCGTTTAAACTGAATTGAGCATGCTCTTTTATCTATTTAATACTTAGATATAAGCGAAATGTATTATTTTGTTTTTTAAATAGCGTGAAGACTTAACATTTTCTTTGGAAAGTTTCACCACACTATTCAGCAGACTTTAAAGGGCAGTCGCAAAAGTCAGGGCTTCGCCCTGATACGAGAAACTTTTCATATGTTGGTTACGGATGTGAATTTTTGTAGATCTAGTCGTGCAATTTGCTTCGTACTTAATTTTTTTTTATAATATGAGCAAATTATAAATGATTTTTGCTCCGATTTTCGAAGAAAGTGAGGCATATAAATGCGTGAAGTGTTTTTTTTTGCTTTCAGACTAGTTTTAGCTAGTTTTAGCCGGGACCTTCGTAGTCCTTCCGTGAACGCACATCTTTTATATTAGCTCGCCTGTATGTGCCCGCAGGCTGATACGAGTCTATCTAAACTACTCATTGTTCTGACTTTTGAATAAAGTGAGGAATATATATACTTTGGTTTTTTATTCAGACCATTTTTTAGCTCATTCATTTTATACAAGCATTATACTTTCGACTTTTTAACTAAGCCTTTCCGACGGAATTTTTTATACGTTTTTTTAAGATATAGACGTTTTTAAGTTACGGGGTACGGGGTGTTGAAAATTAATAATTTGGTCAATTTGGGATAGTTAACGCGCGATATAAAGCGATTTATAACACGCGCAAGCGGCGAATTAATGCGTACCAAATTGAAGTACCAAATTGCGTGCCCTGATTGCTTTGACTGAGTTTTAAACTCTATGAAGTAACTTTAGAATTATGAAAAAAAGGAAAAAAAATATATTAATCTAAAATAAAATAATTTTTCAAAAATCTTAAAAAACTAAAAATATCAATTTTTTTAAACTAAAAATTATCCTCCGCACGCAATGCTAATTACAAAATGAAATATTTTGCTTATAACAAAGAAGTAAAAAGACCAAAACGCATGCTTTAACCCAATTTTGAACAATTCCTAATACGGATTAAATCTATCACGGATTAAATCTATAGCACGAAATATATCACGGGTTAATTGTCCCAAATTGCCTAAATTGTATCTTTAAATTCCCTTAACTTCACGAAAAATGATCTCAAGTGAGATAATTTTCAAAATTCGAGGTCAAGACAACAGTATTTTTTGAATGATCTGAAAGAAATTCCGTCGAAATTGCAAGTTGAAAAGTCAAATTTGTCTTGAGAAAAAACCACCCGGAGCACAAATGTTCGGTCACTTTCTTCGAAAATCGGAAGAAAACAACAAAAAGTTTTTTGATTGAACAATTGGCGTAAGGGTTAAAAAAAAGAGAAGTAGTAAATAAGCTGTTGGTACATTCAGGTCTTTGCCCTGATACGAACGGTCTTGTTTAGCAATCAACAGACAATCGCAAGTCAATTAAAAAAAAAGATAACTGCTTACCAGTCAATTTTCCACTGAGAAGGGGTTTGTACTATGTAAGCATATAAATAAGAAATTTCAATCCAATTAACCCAAGGTACGGTTTGTTTTTGAACGTCAATTCAAATGCAGAGCTATGAGATGGAGCAATCATCAGTTACTTATACGCTTTGCCCTGAAACCTTCAATTAGTAAAAACATAAACCTTTTAAATTTTACAAAATTTAGGTTACCAAGAGTGTGTATATAGGTTACATAGAGGAAACAAGCAAAATTCTTAGGCCATATCACCCTTAAACAATATGCAACAAAGGCGCGTTTAAGACCCGGGAGTTGGCTGGGGAACTCCATCGTTTTTCTAAAACGGTCAGCTTTTCTCAATATTTCACGGCGTCAAAACTTGGCGTCAATTCATACCTGAGCGAGCGGGCCCTATCAAAATTTTGGTTTGTATGTGATTCGGATACGCAAAATACGAACCCTCCTCCGGCAAAAGTTTTTTAAAAACAGGTTTAAAAATTTCGTTTTCGTTTTCGTTTTTGGAAACTTTGACAATAAATTGCGTTTTTTTGGCGAGCACTTCCCCCGCAAAACTATTCATATTGGCACCCAAGGCGCCTTTAGAACAATTTTGATGTTGGTTAGCGAAAATTGATATCATAAATTAATATCAAAGGGGGGAACCCTTGGAAAAAATTGAGGGGGGGGCGGTCGATTAAAATCCAATGCAGTGATCAAAACTTGACTACAACTGGCTCAGGCAAACTTTTTGGCGCCTTGCACCTTGTTGTTGCATTTTGCGTGTGTGTGTGTGTTTGTGTGTGTGGGAGGGGTTGATTAAAATCTAAAGCAGTGATCAAAACTTGACTACAACTGGCTCAGGCAACTTTTTGCCGCTTTGCACCTTGTTGTTGCATTTTTGTGCGTGTATGTGTGTGTGTGTGTGTGGGGGGGGGTCGATTAAAATCTAATGCAGTGATCAAAATTTGACTACAACTGGCTCAGGCAAACTTTTTGGCGCTTTGCACCTTGTTGTTGCCTTTTGTGTGTGTGCTGGAGTGTGTGTGGGGGGGTCGATTTAAATCTAATGCAGTGATCAAACCTTGACTACAACTGGCTGAGGCAACTTTTTGGCGCTTTGCATCTTTTTGTTGCATTTTGTGTGTGTGTTTGTGTGTGTGGGAGGGGTTGATTAAAATCTAATGCAGTGATCAAAATTTGACTACAACTGGCTCAGGCAAACTTTTTGGCGCTTTGCACCTTGTTGTTGCCTTTTGTGTGTGTGTTGGAGTGTGTGTGTGGGGGGGTCGATTTAAATCTAATGCAGTGATCAAAATTTGACTACAACTGGCTCAGGCAAACTTTTTGTCGCTTTGCACCTTGTTGTTGCCTTTTGTGTGTGTGTTTGTGTGTGTGGGAGGGGTTGATTAAAATCTAATGCAGTGATCAAAATTTGACTACAACTGGCTCAGGCAACTTTTTGGCGCTTTGCATCTTGTTGTTGCATTTTTTTTTGTGTGTGTGGGGAGGAGGTGCGCTCGATTACAATCCAATGCAGTGATCAAAGCTTGACTACAACTGGCACAAGCAGGGGCGGATTTAGGAAGGGGGCGGCGGGCGGACGCCCGCCTCAGGAATTCGACCACTTGCCCAACCAGAGGGTCCCCTTTGGTACTTTTCAAGAAATCCATTTTTGGCCGACCTATCCTAATATTTTTCTAAAGGCGCCTTCGACGCCAATATTTTCTAAATTTAAGGGGGAGTACACGCCAAAAAAAGGTGCCCAATAACGGTTTTTTTAGTTGTTTTTCAAAAATTGCCTCCGGAGCAACAAATTTGGCCAAAACAGCGTCTTTTCACTGCTTTAGGAGACCTCGGAAATCAATTTGGTCGACCTAAAAAAATTTTGAAAATGTTTTTGAAAATCCGCCCCCCCCCCCCATCGAGAAAATCCTAGATCCGCCCATGGGCTCAGGCAAAACTTTTGGCGATTGGCACCTTGTTGTTGCATTTTTGTGTGTGTGCGGGGGCGGTCGATTAAAATCCAACGCAGTGATCATAATTTGAGTACAACTGGCTCAGGCAAACTTTTTAGCGCTTTAAGCATTGTGGTTGCAATTTTTTTGGGTGTGGTGAGGGGGCGGTCAATTAAAATTGAAATCTAATGCAGTGATCAAAATTTGGGTACAACTGGCTCAGGCAAACTTTTTGGCGCTTTAAGCATTGTGGTTGAAGTTTTTTTGGGTGTGGGGGCGGTCGACTAAACTCTAATGCAGTGATCAAAATTTGAGTACAACTGGCTCAGGCAAACTTTTTGGCGCTTGTGCAAACTTTTTAGCTCCTTGTGGTTGCAATTTTGTGTGTGAGTGGGGGGGGGGAGGTCGGTTAAAATCCAACGCAGTGATCAAAATTTGAGTACAACTGGCTCAGGCAATCTTTCTGGCGCTTTAAGCATTCTGGTTGCAGTTTTTTGGGTGTGGGGGGGCCGATTAAAATCTAATGCAGTGATCAAAATTTTGGTACAACTGGTTCAGGCAATCTTTTTGCCGCTTTAAGCATTGTGGTTGAAGTTTTTTTGGGTGTGGGGGCGGTCGACTAAACTCTAATACAATGATCAAAATTTGAGTACAACTGGCTCAAGCAAACTTTTTTGGCGCTTTGCACCTTGTGGTTGCAATTTTTTGTGAAAAATGTTGAGAGATTTATGATATCAAGCGTTTCTGATAGAATGATATTAGAATTGAAATATTAGGTTTGCTCACCTAGCCAGCAGGCGAGACTGGCATATATGGCCGTGGATGGCTGTCGGTAGAGTATGGACTCCAGAGGGTACCTCAGGGCCACACATCTGTCCACTGACAATAGACACAGCGAGAAACAGGACACCAGCACCGACACCTAAACATTACCTGAGTAGCCAGATGCCGTTCAAACTTGCACTATAATTTCCGACCATGGTCATCTTTGCAAAAATCACAAAAGAAAGAGAAAGTTAAATCAACGTAGCTAAGTACATATAGAAACAAGACTGCTCGTATCAGGGCAAAGCCCTGAATGTTCCGACTGCCTTCTAAGGTTTTATGGAGCAGTAATAACATCAAAAAATTAAATGTAATAAAATAAAAAAATTTTTTTTTGTTTTTAAATTTGAATTTTTTAATGAAAATCATCCCCCCACACGCCGAATAAAGTACAAAAAGGTAGATTTCGTTCCTTGTAACAAATCAATTATGGCAAATAAGCTTCGTTCAACCAATTTGGAACGTTTTTAAGACGGATTAACTCTCCGCTTACGCGTTAATAGCGCTACTTATATCGCGCGTTAATTGTCCCCAATTGGTCAAAATGGCCAAAATGGCAATCTTTAAACCCCCATAACTTTACGAAAAATGATCACAAGTGAAATATCTTTTCAAATTTGAGCTTAAGACAACAATACTTTTTGAATGATATTAAACAATTCCGTCAAAAATGGCTAGTTAAAAAGTCGAAATTTGTCTGAAGAAAAAAAAAACCCACCCGAGCACAAATATTTCGTTACTTTCGTATCGAAAGTCGGAACAAAAACATACTCTTCAACAGTTAGAACACATTCCGTTACCATTATATGAATCAAATCCTATATAATGGTTTTGTTATTTCGAGAAATCTCATTTTTTTCCAACAATTTTGAAATACCCCCATCTATGAACGGCATAGAAGGGCCCATTTGTTATTTCTTATCGCGTCACATTCTAACAAAAATCCTAGAACACAGTTTTAGATAATTTTGTCAAATTTGGCTAGTTGAAGAGTCGAATTTTGTCTGAAGAAAAACCATCCGAGCACAAACTTCCATTACTTTTGTTACGAAAGTCGGAAGAACAAAACTGCTCGCACCTAGGTAAAGCCTTGAATGTTACAACTGCCCCTTAACCTTTATGGAAAGGCAAATATAGCTGGTTAAAAAGTCGAAATTTATCTGAAGAAAAAAACCCACCCCGAGCACAAATATTCCGTTACTTTCGTATCAAAAGTCGGAACAAAAACTGAGGCATTTTTTAGGTAATGGCTAGTTTTGTCAGAAATTAGGAAACCTTGTAGTGTTCGTTAAACTCTTGAATTTGCGAGAGAGAGAGAGAGAGAGAGGGAGAGAGAGAGAGAGAGAGAGAGAGATATAGAGAGAGATAGAGCGAGAGGTGAGAAAGGTAACAAGAGAGAGGGAGGGAGAGATAGAGAGAGAAGAAAAAAGAGAAGAGGAGGGCGAGAGACAGAATTACACAAGGGAGAAGTTTTTCACAAAAAAAACACTGCAGGAGACTCTTAATTACGCAAACAGTGTCAAATATAACTCTGTCGCTAATTAACTAATCTGCTTTGTTTTTGTTTTTCCAAGTTATTTGATATGTTTTAGTTCCATGCGCACATCCGGCAATTCGACAATTTAAGTTACTAGCCGTTTTTTCTTTAAACTTCTGCATAAATTTTGCATTTCAAGCAATTGTGCCAAATAAATTAGCTTCAACCAATGAGACGCCAGCGTTTCCGTTTACCCTCAAATTATCAAAAATGCTTTATTTTGTATCTTTCGAAGTTATTCGATATACTCTAGGCCCATTCGCACAATCTATCATATCGAGTGTTTCAACTACTAGCCGTGCATTTCTTTCGAAAAACTGTATAATGTGCGTGCCTGCTTGATAAGTTTAGTTTCAGCTAAACAGATATAAGCGTTTTTGATTCCTGTCAAATACGGAAATTTGCGTTTTCAACCTCAAAAATCTAAAATTCCAGTTAAGATGAATCAATACCTATAAAGAGATAAAATGAAGCATTTAGAAAGGAGAGTGTAGAAAATTGCAAAACTAGACAAAACTGCTCAAATTAGGGAGAAGCCTGAATGTTCCGACTGCCTTTTAAGGTCTATGGAGCAGTAATAACATGAAAAAGTTAAATGTAATAAAAATAAAAGAGAAAAGTTTTTTTTTCTAAATTTGAGATTTATTTTGAGAAAATCATCCCCCCACACGCCTTATAAAGTATAAAGGGATAAATTTCGCCCATAGTATTGTATCAATTACGGCCAATCATCTTCCGTCAACCAGTTTGCAACAATTTTTGAGATGGATTAAATCTCCGCTTACGCGTTAATAGCGCGAAATATATCGCGCGTTAATTGTCCCAAATTGGCCAAAATGGCAATGTTTAAACCCCCATAATTTTACAAAAAATGATCGCAGATGAAACATCTTTTCAAATTTAAGCTTAGGACAACAATAATTGCAGAATTTTATAGATAATTTTGTCGAATTTGGCTAGTTGAAGAGTCGAATTTTGTCTGAAGAAAAACCATCCGAGCACAAACTTCCATTACTTTTGTTACGAAAGTCGGAATAACAAAACTGCTCGCACCTAGGTAAAGCCTTGAATGTTACAACTGCCCCTTAACCTTTATGGAAAGGCAAATATAGCTAGTTAAAAAGTCGAAATTTGTCTGAAGAAAGAAAACCACTCGAGCACAAAGATTCCGTTACTTTCGTTAAGAATGTCGGAACAACAAAAATAAAAATTCAAAAATAAAAGAAATTTTAATTTGAAAACGAAAACATTAATTACAATTGAGATTTTCCAGTAAAGTCAAGGAGTATGCGGCCTAATTTTAAAGATGATTAGTATTGGGGAGTATTTAAAATGTCTACTCTCTTTTTTATAGAAAGTCTGCCGCTTTATTGGGAATTTTGCAAATTTTGCTGACTAAATTTCTGGATAGGCGCGCAAATTTCCTATGATCTAACCAAAAAAATTCAGTTATTATACATTTTTTCTGTCGACAAAAAAGTTTTCGGAAAATTTTTGGTTTTGTTATTTCGAGAAATCTCATTTTTTTCCAACAATTTTAAAATACCCCCATCTATGAACGGCATAGAAGGGCCCATTTGTTATTTCTTATCGCGTCACATTCTAACAAAAATCCTAGTTTCTTAGTGATAACAAAATTTTCAAAAACATGACTGCCGAACCACAGACTAAATTTTTAAAGACAACACACCTGAGGCTGCTAGCGTATGAGGAATTATTATAATGCAAGCAAACTGATCCGATTAAAATCACACTTATTTTGCTTACACAAATTTTTTGATATTGACTGTCCACAATTAATCGTTTGCCAAAACTTTCATGACCACAATTAATTAGAGAGCATTAAAAGAGTAGTTGGAACATCGAGAGATCTGCCATGGTGAACGAACAGTCTAGTTGCTATAACGTATACCAGTTTTCTCTACGTCTTTCGAAACAGGAATAAAAATTAGTGATCCGTGAGATATTTCCTACAAGCAAACTCCGACTTTTACTTTGATCAGTTTTGAACAAAACTATGTTATCAGCCAAAAAAATTTGATGTTCTCTAAAACAGTTACCTTTAATCATTTTTAAAACTCATTGGAGCTTTAAAAAAAGCCAAATTTTCAAAATTGGACCAATTAGCGCGTGATTTCCTTGTATTATTAAAGCAAATTACGCCAATTTTTTTGCAATGCTTGTGAGGGAATAATTTTTACAAACGTACATAAAAAGGAGCCAAACATGGCAAAGTTTGCTGACGAGAATTTTTTGGTTTATGTTTTTCAAATCAATTGAACCATATGATTTCTCGTTAAGTTTCTGAATTATTTTTGTTTTACTTCAACGCAATTACTCAATTTGAAAAAGGGCAATTAGAACATTAACTTTATTCGTTTCAGCCGAGTAATTAAAGCTGGCGTTTAATGTAATTTATGATGCAAATGGTCTGCATGACCAGTCTATTTTGATCCGAATTTTACAGACAGATATGGATAAATAATCACTCGTTGCTGCTTTTGCTGTAATTTTTATTCAGACCACTTTAAAATTTGTAATTAGTTATTTTAAATTAGATAATGTTTTCTGTTTGAAAAAACAAAAAATATGAATAAAACTTTGAGCCGCCTTGAGTAATAGCATTATTATCATTGGGTTGATTTCAATAAAAAAAAATGAGTACAGAACCACGCACACACGCGCACACACCACACACATACACACACACACACACATATATATATATATATATATATATATATATATATATATATATATATATATATATATATATAAGTTAAGAGTTTGTTTTTTGATCATTTTTTGAACAAAAATTACTTTGCCACGCCTTAAAGTTCTGATTGCCATGTTTTCAAAATGGGTAAATGGGTTGAGGTCAAAAAAAAACAAATCAGAATGCTAAATTTGGTTAACACTTTACCAGATTTCATCTAGTGCGATCGATTTTTAAGATTTGGACTAAAAAATCTCGCCTGCCAACATTGTAATGTTTGGCTCTTTTTTGATGTACTTCTTTTGGTATAACAACTTGTTTGTCT